ACTTGAGAAAACAGTGTTAATTCAAGGCAGACTGTATAAATTAATATTTAAAAAGGCAATCAAAATGTAGAAAATGATAAAATCAACTAGGCATGAACTTGAATTGGTGAACATTAATTGATATATAATCAAGAAGGGTTCACAACAAGAAAAATCACCTTACACTTGTACATGAGGATGAGGAGGTTAGAACACACAAGATTACGAAAAAATACTTAAATTTAGAGGATCTAACTTCTTTGTATTGTGCAAAATAAGTGTACAAACTTGTTGCTTGATATTCATATTTTTTTTATATCAACCTACTGGAGAAAACCTTATCAATTCAAAGAACACTGCAGAAAAAATATATTTAAAAGGCAAAATGTGTAAAATCGACATAAAAGAAATCAGCTAGGCATGAAAACAAGAAATTTGTGAACAGAAATTGATATAAAATTGAGACGGGATCGGTACAAACAAAAATCAACCTGGTTTAAACAAGATTATCTTCTCTGAAACTCTCGCGTAAAGAAAAAGGCTGCCACTTGCTCCCCTCCTCCCTCAATTGGAGTCACCTCCGCACAAAAGCAATTGAAGATTAGGGTAGGAAAGAAAATGAATTTATAGGCTCTGAACACCGAGGAATCCATGATTTACAGAATCTGATGGTGTATCCTCTAGTGTTAGGCTGAAATGGCGGAATTTTAATTATTTGAATTACTTTTAAGTATGAAAAGAAAGGTATAACTATTGGGAAATTTTTTATTTTTATTTTTTTGATGTGTGCTTTTGATATAGGTTGGTAGAGAAAGCCACCCTCGACGACAAACAAGATGGATCACTGCACTTCGATGCAAGGCCATTGACCCCTAAGGGGCGCTCTACCACTATCCCCAAGTGGTGCTCGACCACCATGCACGACCATCGACCCCCAGGGGAGCTTTACCACTACCCCTAGGGGTTGCTCTACCACTACGCGAGGCCGTTGACCCCCCCAGGAGCGCTCTACCACAACCCTTGGGGGTGCTCTATCACTATGCGAGGCCGTCGACCCCCCCAGGGGTGCTTTACCACTAACCCAGGGGGTGCTCTACCACTACGCGAGCCCATCAACCTCCCAAGAGCGCTCTACCACACCTCCCAGGGGCGCTCTACCACAACCCCCAGGGGCGCTCTACCACTACCCCCAGGGGGTGCTCTACCACTACGCGAGGTCGTCGACCCCCCAGGGGCGCTCTACCATAACCCTCAGGGGGCGTATTACCACAACCCCCAGGGGGCGTTCTACCACTAAGCGAGGTCATCGACCCCCGAGGGGCGCTCTACCACAACCCCCAAGGAGCGCTCTACTACTACCCCTAGAGGTCGCTCGACCTCTACGCGAAGTCTTCAACGGGCATGAAATTGCCTATCCAAATACTTAGCCATAAAACCTCTAGTGAATTGACTAGGTTCCATGGCGGTTAATACAGGAACAACCTCCAGGCGGGGAGTTAAAGACCCTCCACTCAGAACGTGGGGGTAGTGGAAATGCCAACGTGGGACACTTGGCACCACAACCGTCCAGCGATTATCGAGCTCCCAATATCTATAAATACCCTCGGATGTGACACAGGTAAAGGGCTCTCCCTCTCTCTCTTTTTAGCCATCTGAATTCCAATTGCATTTTTTCCAAGTCTAAAAATTAATTCTCATGCTGGAGGTAAAACGGGAGAGGAAGCCCCACCTTCGTTTTTTAGGTCACACACACTTGACGGAGTAGTCGGAACGTCGAACGCCACCAGGCAGATAGAAGGGTATTCTTCCACAGCCATTTCATTGGCGCCGTCTGTGGGAACTTCTTCCATTGAACACAAAGGTCATGTCGAGAAGACGAACACGAAGTGACACACGCCTAAGAACAGCAACGATGGAGGCAGAATCAGAATCGATCGCCAGAGGCCCCGATCCGTCGTCGCCACCGCAGTATGTGACGCAAAACCAGTTTAGCGCCCTAGAGACCCAGTTAGCGGCCATGATGATCCTCTTGCAGAATCAAACGCAGAGAGCCGCCCTCCCATCGCATTCGGCAGAGGCCCGCCTCTACCCCAGGAGGCGCACATAGAAACACTGCCTGCCATCCAACCGATGACCGCAGACTCGGGGGCTCCAGGGATGATGGTCCTGCAGTCCATCCTACCCCTGGCAGATCTGGAGCGGAGAGTGGAAGAGATCATGACGAAGAAAATTGATGACGCGATTTCTAAAAGAAAAGACAAGCACAGGCAGATGGTCCTAGAAGAGGACCCATTCGCGCCCGAGATCATGGCGGTCTCCTTTACCTAAAGGCTTTAAGCAACCTATGATAGAGGCTTACGATGGGGTCACAGATCCACTTGACCATCTATGGACTTTTGTTGATCTGATGAGCCTCTATGCAGCACTCGATGCGGTAATGTGTCGGTCTTTTTCCCCGACTCTTAGGAGGGAAGCCAGAGACTGGGTGGCAACACTTGTCCCCCGGTCTATCCGAACATTTGATGAACTTTCCAGGAGCTTTGTAGCCTACTTCCTGAGTAGCAAGAGAAAGAGGATGACAGCCATTGGACTAATGTAGGTGGTCCAGGAGAAAAATGAGTCTCTGCAGGAATATCTGGCCAGATTTAGCCGTGCGATCCTTGGAATAGAGGACCTTCAGATGTCGACGATGGTGACTGCGTTAATGAATGGAACTCGAAACCGGGCTTTCAAGATGTCACTTTCTAAGAACCCCCCAGAATCAATGCACGACCTATTGAAAAAGGGAGACAAGTATGTTGATACTAAGGAGACGGAGAAGGTCATAAAAAACCTCAGAGAGGGATGGGAAGTAGAAAGTCACAAGCACAAGGCGGGGGACGAGCTAAGACCTGCCAACAAAAATAGGCCAATGAGTGAGCAGATGGTGAATGAGGCCGCCCAAGACCGGCCAGCCAGGCACAAACAAGAGGAGTCCAGGGCGTTCATCCCTTTGAACACCCCCCATGCCAAACTATTGCTGGAAATACGAGACATGAAAGAGCTAGAATGGCCGAGACCCATGGTAACGCCAACAGGCAAAAGAAACCAAGGCAGATATTGTCATTTTCACAAGAATCACGGGCATGATGCTAAAAAGTGCCTGCAACTAAAGGAGGAGATCGAGCGCCTCCTAAGGCGGGGTCTCCTAGGCAAGTATGTGAAGGATAATCGGGGGAAGCAAAAGATGGAGGATCGTCCCCCACCTAGGGCCAGAGTGATAAACATGATTACAGGAGGGTTAGCAGGAGGGGAAGATTCAAACTCGGCAAGGAAAAGCTTCGCGTGCTCTCTCGGGATCTGCTCCATCCAAAAGAAGGCAAGGTTCAGCCAAAGCATCACTTTTGGCGAGGAAGACTTGATAGGCGTGGCGCACCCCCTTGATGATGCCTTACTTATAGTAGGCGACATAGCTGATTTTGACGTCAAAAGAGTATTGGTCGACGGGGAAAGTGTCGCAAATGTACTCACCTGGGACTTTTTTTAGGCTTGAAGGTCCCACCTGACAAGTTAAAAATCGTAAACACCCCCTTACAAGGCTTTGGAGGAGCCATGGTGATTCTAGAAGGTACTGTGGAGCTCCCGATCACGCTGGGCACACATCCGACCACTGTGGTAATTGTGGCAAGCTTTTTGGTCGTTAAGACCCCCATGGCCTATAATGCAATCTACAGTCGACTGTTACTCAACGTAGCTGGGGCCATCCCCTCGACCTATCACCAGGTCCTGAAATTCCCGACTAGCAGGGGAGTCAGGTGTGTGCAAAGAGATCAGCAAGCATCCAAGAAATGTTATGTCGACAATATATCAGTTAGAAGAGCCCCATCAGTCATGATGTTAGAAGTCGAACCTCCGAGAGGGCGGATTGAGCCACTTAACATGATCGAAAATATTTCTATAATGGGGGCCAGGAGGTCAGCATTGGGGCCGAGTTGGACACTGACGAAAAATGGAAGCTGGTGAGGTGTCTGATAGACAACCTAGACGTCTTTGCATGGAGCCCAAGTGATGTCACCGGGGTCAGCCCAACACTAGCTCAGTATCGTCTCGGAGTCCTACTCGGAGCCAAACCAATAAAGCAGAAGAAAAGGAACCTCGACCCCGAAAGGCAAGAAATAGCAAGGGCGAAAGTGGAAAAGCGACTGCAAGCAGGTTTCATCCGAGAGGTACGGTACCCCCAAATGGTTAGCCAACATTGTGCTAGTAAAAAAGTCAAATAAGAAGTAGCGCATGTGCGTAGATTATACTGGATTGAATAAGGCATGCCCTAAGAACTCATACCCGCTCCCATGGATAGACCACTTCGTCGACGCCATATCGGGTCATGAGAGGCTCAGCTTCCTAGACGCTTTCTCGGGGTATCATCAAATCTCTATGGCTGAGTGCAACCAGGAGAAGACGTCGTTCATCACAGATTTCGGAACCAACAGTTACACTGTCATACCTTTCGGCCTGAAGAATGCAGGGGCAACTTACCAGAGGATGGTGAATAGGGTCTTCCAGGAGTTGATTGGAAATGTCATAGAAGCCTACGTCGACAATAGGGTGGTAAAAAGTATTAAGGCTATTGACCACGTGGCCTGTCCGCAGAGAGTGTTCGACACAGTCTACGCGGCTAGGTGGAGAGCCTTAACAGGCCAAAAATTGGCTAGGGCCCTTAACCGCTAGACCCCTCTCCCGACGGTCGACATAGCCTACACGACTAGGCGGAGAGCCTTAACAAGTCAAAAATTGGCTAAGGCCCTTAACCGCTGGACCCCTCTTTCGACGGTCGACATAGCCTACGCGGCTAGGCGGAGAGCCTTAACAAGCCAAAAATTGGCTAAGGCCCTTAACTGCTGGACCCCTCTCCCGACTGTCCATAGCCTACACGGCTTAGTGGAGAGCCTTAACAAGCCAAAAATTGGCTAAGGCCCTTAACCGCTGGACCCCTCTCCCGACGGTCGACATAACCTACGCGGCTAGGCGGAGAGCCTTAACAAGCCAAAAATTGGCTAAGGCCCTTAACCGCTAGACCCCCCTCCAGATAGTCGACATAGCCTACGCGACTAGGCGGAGAGTCTTAACAAGCCAAAAATTGGCTAAGGCCCTTAGCCGCTAGACCCCTCTCCCGACGGTCGACATAGCCAACGCGGCTAGGCACGGGGTAACACAAGGCTAAAATTGGCTAGGGCCATCGACCACTAAACTCTGACAGCCATTTCCCCGCACCATCAAACAGTGAAAAGAAAATGAAGAAGGACGACACGAGAGACGGCAAGTTAAGGAACAATGCACTCAACACTAATAATAGCGAACAAAAAATGTGTTTATACATATGAGAAATTCTTGCCCACACCTCGGACAAGTAGAAGATAATGAGACTAAACAAAAGTAAACATGAAAAAAGAAAAGCTAGCAAAGAAAACAACAACTAAGAAATGCTTCAGCTCGAAGGGGAGACATCCCCACTACCACCTCATGATGAACGTCCAAGTGACCTGGATGACTGTGCTCTACTCTCCTTCCTCTTGCGCTGCGCAAGAAACCTATCTAAACCAGAGGGGTCTATAAAAGAATGCTTGGCCATAATCCACTCCTTGAAAAGTTTGATAGACGCTGCCATTGCCTTCTGCCCATATGAATACAAGGCCTTAGCATAATCAGACGACGTCTTATACTGCTCTACAGATACCTCGAGATCTCTGGCATACTCAGCTGAGGCCTTATACTTCTCAATCGCCTCCTCCGGAGCGCGAGCCAAAACAGAACGCAAGTTGTCGTTCTCCGTCTCCTGCTCGCGAGCTTGAGCATCCGACGTCTCCAGAGATTTCCTCAAGGAGGATATCTTTTTCTTGTAGTGATGAGCCTCTTTTTTCTTTTCTTCAGTAAGAGTCTTCAACTCCAAGACTAGGCGGCGATTCGATTCAGCGAGTCCGGTCTGGAGGGCTACCACCTAAGAAATGAGGGGGTAGAATAAAAGTCAAGTGTTAAAACCAAGCATAAAAGGAAAGACCCAACATAAAAGAAAATGTGAAATTGGAAACGCACCATCTGGAGATAAACAGCCGCAGCCCTTTCAATGTTGTCTGCATCACGTCTGCAATTGCTCTAGAATGAGCTAGAGTCACAAAAAACTTGAGCACCCCCATCTCATGATAGCCCCAGGTGGGAGGAAACCTGAAGTTGGGAAGTGAATCCTTGCGCTCACACAGTGCGCAACTGGAAGCACCCGGCCTAGGAGCTGGAGTCACCTCATGAGGCTCGTCTAAAGGTTGGGAGTTCTCGTTGATCTCCTGAGACTTCTCCCCTTGGTCGGCCGCCCTCCTTCTCTTTGAAGGGATAGGTGATGGATCCGCCTCATCCCCCTGCCCCCTAGTTGGGCATGGAATCCATAATCCCTTCAAGATCATGCTCTGCCCCTACACATGTAAGTTAGAATCCGTTAAGATCGCAAGGTAGAAGAGTAAGAGGATATATTAAATAAATAAATAAATAATTCAAACCAACCCAGATAAAGAAAATTGCTACTTCTCGTCGAAAACATCGACTAGGGATAGGGGGCTAATGATATAAGTTGGTAGAGAAAGCCACCATCGACGACAAACAAGATGGATCACTGCACTTCGATGCAAGGCCATCGACCCTTAAGGGGTGCTTTACCACTATCTCCAAGTGGTGCTCGACCACCATGCACGACCATCGACCCCCAGGGGCGCTTTACCACTACCCCCAGGGGTTGCTCTACCACTACGCGAGGTCGTCGACCCCCCAGGGGCGCTCTATCACTACGCGAGGCCGTCGATCCCCCCAGGGGTGTTACCACTAACCCCACGGAGTGCTTTACCACTACGCGAGGCTGTCAACCTCCCAAGGGCGCTCTACCACACCTCCCAGAGGCGCTCTACCACAACCCCTAGGGGTGCTCTACTACTACTACCCCCAGGGGGTGCTCTACCTCTACGCGAGGTCGTCGACCCACCAAGGGCGCTCTACCACAACCCTCAGGGGGCGCATTACCACAATCCCCAGGGGGCGCTCTACCACTACGAGAGGCCGTCGACCCCCGAGGGGCGCTCTACCACAACCCCCAAGGAGCGCTCTACCACTACCCCTAGAGGTCGCTCTACCTCTACGCGAAGTCTTCAATGGGCATGAAATTGCCTATCCAAACACTTAGCCATAAAACCTCTAGTGAATTGACTAGGTTCCATGGCAGTTAATACAGGAACAACCTCCAGGCGGGAAGTTAAAGACCCCCACTCAGAACGTGGGGGTAGTGGAAATGCCAACGTGGGACACGTGGCACCACAACCGTCCAGCGGTTATCGAGCTCCCAATATCTATAAATACCCCCGGATGTGACACAGGTAAAGAGCTCTCCCTCTCTCTCTTTTTAGCCATCTGAATTCCAATTGCATTTTTTCCAAGTCTAAAAACTAATTCTCACGCCGGAGGTAAAACGGGGGAGGAAGCCCCGCCTTCGTTTTTCAGGTCACACACACTTGACGGAGTAGTCGAAATGCCGAATGCCACCAGGCAGATAGAAGGGTATTGTTCCACAACCATTTCAGCTTTATACCCTATCAATGCCATGTGCAGATGATGTGTTTACCAATTATGTTATAAGTATAGAAAAATTTGACAGACAATACATGATGGAAATTGATTGAAAGATGAAAAGAGAAAAAAATCTAATCGTCTACTGCCACGTCAACGTCGGTAGGAATTCTGTCAATAATTTTCGGTACTCATGGCTTTTTCCCCGTAATAGGGTAAAGACAGTTCGATTTTTGAGGTTTTTAGCATGTTTTCAAGTTAAACCATTGGATTGGTTTAGGTAGTTTGTGGTGTTTAAACTTGTATATCAAATGTTTAGAGGAGCCGATGGGGTTGCCAAATAACTGATCATGGTCTGTACCAGTTGTCTATGGCAAAGTGTATTTACAACCTATCATCAATATCAATAGCAATCATAGACAGATGAGTTGCTCAAATGTTTAGCAAACTCATGATTCGTTTAGCAATCTGGATTGTACAGTGCTGGACAGTATCCATTGTAATGTTCAATCCTCTCTAGTACAACATACCAAACCAAAATCTACTTTCCACACTACGATCAATATGTTAGTTTGCTTTTCTAACTCTTGTTCCACAGATTTCTGAAGTTATTTCAATGCAACACTTGAATATTGGTGGTACATTTGTCAATTGTCACGGATACATTCTTGTTTGCAATTGCAAATAGATGTCCACATCTTGTTGTCGATTTTATATCCCACGAGTGTACGGATCGTAATAAGTAGTAAATAGACCTAAGAGTCTGGATATCGTTCCCAAGAGCACTACTACTTAACAATTGGTTCAATTATTCCTTATTTTAATTTGATCGAACACAAACGAAGAATTAAATGTTGTAATTTTTTATACAACTATTTCAAAATGTGTAAATACACACAAAGTGATTTAAAACTTAAATAATGAACAAATATTATGGTGGAATAATTTCACCAATTGATCACCTTTATATCTTAAATCAAGATTCATATTTCATGTAGTGTTCGGTCGAATTCTCATATTGTATTCAGTTTATCCCTCTCGAGTTCTCATTGAGCCTATTTAACTAATTTAATTCCATATCCCCATGCAAATCAAGTTTATTTAAACGAGTTCTTTGTTTTAGGAATTCAATTATGACCGCAATAATTAGTGTAGGTATCTCTACTCATTATAACAATTTACAGTATTTTACTATATGGTCTAAATCCTAAACTCGTATCTATATTCTTAAAGGATACACGAAATCATCAAATTATTGATCAAGTAATTTAATGTATTCAATTCATAGTAAAATCAATACACGAAACAATAAAAACATGGAATCTTAATAAGAAAATATAAAGGATTCCAATTGGTTACATTATTCGCCATAACAAATGAATTTAGCTATCCATAATGAAAAAAGAAAAATCATTAATCATCATAGAATAAATCACCAGATTTTGTATTAAAGATGTAGAAGAAAAAGTAGATCTTACACAAAAAATCTCTTCCTCTTCCAATTGATGCTCCACATGGTAAATTTCTCAATGTTTTCTCTCTTGAATTCCTCCTTTGATTCCCTAATTGTGTTCTCTTGCCTCTTAGTGTGTAAATCCCCCTCTTCAATTCTTCTCTCTAAGGTTGTATTTATGTCTTATTCAAACCTTGAAAGAGTTTTAGTTAAATTTGGCTTTTAAAAAAATAAATTTAATTTGAAAACCCTATTTGATGGCAGTTAGGTGTCTAGGCACTGTGATTGGGCACCTGAGCGTTAACTTTCAGAAGAAAAATCAGAAACATAACACCTGAGCGCTGCGGGATAGCGTCTGGATGCTGTCTTCAGCTTCGATTGCACTGCATAGTATTCTGTCTTTTTATCATAACTTTTTCTTCCAATGTTCGATTGAAACAATTCAAGATGCGTTGGAAAGCTAACTCAAAGGGCTACAACTTTGCTTCACATACCATTTTCAAATTCGAATTGCTATATCAAAAATGGGTCTCAATTTGAATCTGAGAACGATGCATAAATTTTTTTGGTTAGAACTTAGTGTGTGATCATACTTTGATTATATTTCATCCCTTTGATGTCTTTCTTTATCTTATTGACTCCGAGCACTCTTTAATCTTTATCGTGAGGTCCGACA